TCTTTAAAAGCCAGGATTATAAGGTATGAAAAAAAGAATCCTGTGAATCAGCTTTGTCTGATGAGAAAGAAATTTATTTCCATTCCATTTTCAGGTTTTGGTTATAAAGAGCACTTATATTTTCTTACAGGTATGAAATACTCCCTCTTTTCCCCTCTAAGAAACTCTGTAGTTTATTTCTTCTCATTCCCCATTTCTGACACTGTTTTCTTCAATAACCTGTGCCTTTGTCTCTTCTTTCTTGTGATTGGAGGTGTAGGCCAGGGTTGATGTCCCAGTGCTGCTGTTGTGAGGTCTTGATCTCTCTCTTTCCTCACTTTTAAGTTGGGGTCAGAAGTACACAGTAAGGGCTAGTTCTCATCAGCCAGCCTTTCTTGGCTTCCTGCAATGGGACTCTGATTTCAGCTTATAATCCCTTCCATGTGAAAGTTCTTTTCAAGTTCTATCAGCAATTTAACTGCATCTCTCTAGTCGTATTTTGCTTTTTGATGCACTTCATTAGCTCCTCAGGAGGTTTGATTCCTATGCTGCCCCATAGCACTTCAGTATGGAAGCAACACAGAAAAGATATTCCTACTCAGGGTCTTGGGAGGGAGAGAAGGGAGAGGAATGGAGGTGGAGTGGGGGGGAAGTCCAGACCTCAGCTTTCAGTTGCTATCCTAATAGCTCCATGTTAGTAATGCATAAGAACTGAACGAAAGTGTATTGAGAGTGGGAGAGAGAGAGAGCGAGAGAGAGCAGTAGCAGAAATAGACTAGAGCCTCTCCTGCTGCCGTTGGACAAGAATGGAAAGAGTCCTTGTGCTCACACTGGTGTCGTTGAGAATCCAGGGGCTAGTTCCTTGCTCTCCTTGCCCTTCTCCTCCTCCCCTTGACCTGTGTCACTTTCCACTACATCATGAGCCTCTGCTGCACAGTTCACACTAAGGACGGCCCAGACTGCACCTGAGGAGAACATACGATACGATAGTGCCCTGGGCTCCAGGCTGAGACATGTGGAAGGTGACAGAAGCTGTTTGGTTTGGGTCACTTACCTAGCAGATACCATGAGTCCCTCCGTGTGGCCTAGGGAGCATGTTTCTTCTTTGTACTCATGTCATATTTGGCTAGTCACTCCCCTATAAAGCCACACAGCTACCCCTGAACTTTAGGCAACCAGAAGTAGTATTCTTTAATGTTCTGGGTATAAGCTTGAAACTCTTACCTTGTCTGCATCATGAAAGGCCCTTCCCTAGGACCTTGTTTAGAGTGCTTGTTTAGCCCATACAGTGGTTCAGCGTATGTGAACTTGGCTGCATGGTCTTGTGGAGCTCTATTTTCTCAAGTGTCTGATGGCAGCACTTGGTTGTTTGTGAAAACATCAGTCACAGTAGTACTTCGTTTGTTTCACAGGTAATGTATGAAGTTGAGAGAGACAGGGAGTGCATCCTGTCTGCCAAGACTTCAGATATTGCCAGAAGAGATAAAGACACATCTGCCTGTATGGCTCATGGTGATTTTCTGAGCATCTGTGATAGTTTTGAAGTGCTGATGGTGTTGTGGGGATGGCGCTTCATGCAGAGGTCGGTGCCTGAGCCTGGCCTTGGAGGATGGTCTGTCAAGGTAGCATTGTTGTACACAGGCACTAGAGGACAAGCCTTTCGGGTGCTGGTATAGCATTAGGAAAGGCACAGCTCTGGAAACCTGCCAGGCCTAGACAAGTTACAACAGTTGTTGGTTTGGATCAGGACCCAGAGCAGGAGTAACCCAGAGCAGTGCTGAGCCAGGATGTATCATAATCAGGTGGGAACTTTAGGATGAATAATTAGGCAGCAGTTTATGTGGGTGGAGGAAAGAGATTCAGGAAAGTTTCTTTAGCGGAAGACTACTAGGAAAATGTAGAAATACCAAACCTTCTTGTCTCCCAACTGTTGGTTTTTGTTTGTTTGTTTTGTTGGTCGTGGGGCTTGAACTCTGGGCCTGAGTGCTGTCCCTCAGCTCTTCAGCTCAAGGCAAGCGCTCTACCACTTGAGCCACAGCACCACTTCCCCAATTGTTGTTTTAAAGAGTAAGTGAGGTAAAGGATGCTGCAGTATGATTTGGAGACATGAGTCAGGATGGTCCAAGGCCCAAGCTTCCTAGCCCCTCTGCAGCAGCTGGCTACACTGACAGGATGCCTGGAAGTCAGGCTCTCTGTCCCCAGGGTGAGGGTAGAGGGCTGCACAGCCCAGCTTGTATAGTCCCTGTTGCTGTGCCCTGAGGCTCTGTGCTATTCTTTACTCCTGCTTTTCACTCTCAATTGGGCCTCTACCTTAGCACAAGCCTGGCTCTCAGTTTCCTGTCCTTGGACTAGGAATTGCTTATAGTGAAACGCAATCTGTTTCTTTTCCTAGACTCTTTCCAAGTTCCTTGCCCTTTTCCTGCCACTTGGAGAGATCATCTGCTGGGACTAGCCATTATGTCAAAGCCTTGTAGGAAATTCTGTGGCTTGGCCACATGATCATCCTGATGAAGAATGCTGAGAGGAAGGGGAGAGCTGCGTAGCTCCCTGAACTTCAGTTTTCTCCAGGGTAAAAGGGGAGTAGGCTTTCTCCCTATTTGGCTGTGAGGCTATTAAATGAGGGAGTGATTGAAAGGGCTGATGGTGTTAGAAACCCTGAGATCCCAAGATAGAATTTGATACACTTTTTTCTAGAGAATGTTAATAAAATAAAATGTTGAAAACATTCACTGAGGACATTGCCAAAAGTACATCATGGCCAGGCAGGTGTTCATAACATTCTAGCAGCATTGCTTGTGTTCCTAAGTATGTGTTTGGCTAGATAAACATTCCCAAGAAATTTATCAGAAGCCATTGATTTGTAACCGAGCACTGCCTCTCTGCCTTGTATTCCTGTTATGTCCCCAGCCTTCATAATTGATGGCATGGGCTGCATTTGAAGAATCACAATGCTGGAGCAGTGTGAGGTTGAGTCCTGTGCCATTCTGATTACTTTGCTTTATACCGTGCAAGATCTCAAGTTTAATAGAATAAGAGAGACTGAACTACTCCAACTCTTTCTTATTTATGCCTTCACTGGATAGCAAGAAGTGTCCCTATTATAGGCCTTTTCCTCATGAACTCCTCCCCAGGGTCTGAGAAGTCCTTTCTTGGTACCTTTGGGCATGAAGGCATGTGTTGAAAAGGAAGAGGTGCTCAGACCCTTGGGCCCCACTCAGGTATGGTGCCCATTTACCCCCCCCTCCCACCACCACCTCAGAAACCACCATCTTGACAGTATACGCCTCACTTCCCTCTCCTGTTCCAGGCATATAAGCCATACATACACACATCCAGGGAGAAAGTTGGCTTTTTTTTTCCTATCCTGGAGCTTGAACTCAGGGCCTGGGCACTATCCCTGATCTTTTGTACTCAAGACCAGCACTCTACCACTTGAGCCACAATTGCACTTCGGATTTTTTTTTCCCCCTTTTGGCATTAACTGGAGATAAGAATCTCATGGACTTTCCTGTCTGGGCTAGTTTTGAACTGTGATCCTCAGATCTTAGCCTCCTGAGTAGCTGGGATTAGTGTTCCCAGGGTCTAGGGAAATCTGGCATGGTATCCTCCTAGTATCTCTGTCCTGTCTTTATGAGGTAGGAAGGGAGAATGTTGGCCATACATTAAAGGAATACCAGAACGATTTTATTGCTTCACTTGGAAAATATGACACTTAGCAACTGGCAGGAACCAGGTACTATGGTAAGTGCTGTCATGACTATTCTTGTTTTATTACCAGCACAGATCTGTGAATCTGTAACATAATGTTAATGTCATTCCTGTTTTGGAGATTTTGTCAGCTGTGAGTCAGATATGAGTGGCAGGATCCATTTTACATGCAGTTTGTGTCGGAGCTCAAGCACTTAGGTTCCAATGTTGAGTGGGATGTGCTGCCTGTGGGGGTGCTGTCCACTTGTCCCTCTGCCTGTACCGTAACCTTCTGTAACACTTGCTGGGGCCTGGGGGGCGGTGGGGCCAGGGGCTTTCCAGGGAAGCTGGCTCCAGGCACACACACTCAGCGGGAAGGACACAGCTGTTGGCCAGTTCCTGCCATGCTATGTGAATCAGGAGTGTGGAGTGTCTGTCAGGTGTCAGTTTGACCTGTGTAGAGGCAGCATTTCAGAGTGATACCTCCAGTTTGATTTGCGGAAAGCTGAATCCCACAGTCCCTTCTTAGGAGAGCATATTCAGCACATTCCCAAGCAGAACCCAGCTTTTCCCATTTCCCATTCAGCCTCCATCTCTGTCGGAAGGCATAAAGTCTTCTAGATATAACCTGATGGGGTGCAGTTTTGGCCTATGTCTTTTTTAACGACATGTGAAGTGGTTGATTTGCCCTCCAGTGATCTATTACCAGTGTTCCTTCAGCTCTAAATGCTCCAGAAAGCCGTTTCAAAAACAAAGGTCAGTTTCCTATACCGATTCACCTTGTCACTTACTCATTGAATCCTGACTCTTCCCCTAAATGAGACTGGCTGTGTCCATGTTTAGTCATATATTTCACTTTGGTTCTTTTTCTTTTTTATGCTGGTTCGCTTCTTCCAAGAGTTTCCTTTCAGCTAAGCCCTAATGATCTGTGTTGCTCAGAATACCTAACACTTTTGTGTGTATTGATACTGGTAGTTGAACTGGGTCTAAGCACTGTCCCTAGCTTTTCTCTCAAGGCTAGTGCTCTATCTTAAGCTACATCTCCACTTCTGGCTTTTGGGTAGTTAATGGAGGATAAGAGTCTCATGACTTTCCTGCCTGGGCTGGCTTTGAACCCCTGTCCTCAGATCTTAGTCTCTTGAGTAATTAAGATTACAGGCATGAGCCCCTGACACCTAGCTCCAAAGCTTTCAATGAACTCAGTGTTGTTCTTAGTTCTACCCTCTCCTGGCAGGTGACCCTTAAAATCAGGACCAATGAAGAGTAGAGGGTGGTGTGGGAAGGGTCTGGAACTGCATTGTCACTCATTCAGAACAATATGTTTTGCTTCTCAGGTACCCAGATAAGTTGTTTCTCTCCGAGTTCTTTCTCCTGGCGCCAGGCTGCCTTTGTGGATTCTTATTGTTGGGCTGCAGTTCAGCAGAAGGGCTCCCTGCCGAGCGGGTCTGGAAACCTGCCACTGTGGCTGCACAAGGTAATGGACATGCTTTCACCTATGTTCTGTGTGCTTTATAGAAAGGAAGGCTGGAATCTGGAGAGGCCCTGCCTGTGCACAGCTGCACGAAGATGTGTGGCTGATCACGAAACCTGAACAGCGGAAGGAACCCCAGGAATGATGTGGTCTGACACCATCATGTAGCAGATAGGGAAGCAGGTACTCTTCGGATTTGAGCTCTATGATGGCAGGCACCTTGTAAGTCTTCCTCGCCTTTGTGGAATGATACCTAGCAGAACCTCTGACCCACAGCAGGCTCTCTCAGTGCATCTGAAGGTGTGACTGAGCAGAGCTAGCTAGTGCAGAGCTAGGATTCATGCATAGATCCTTAGGTAGTCAATGGCCTTCCTGTCACACACAAGGTCTCTTGGTCAGAGTAAGGACCAACATAGTTCAGATGCTTTTAGCTGCTATGTTACTTAAGCATCCTGAAGCCTAGTGATGACTCTTTCTGGGTGGTAGCTACAGCACAGCTCTGAAATAGATGCCTTTGCTTTCTGGTAGGAAGCAAATACTATGTAAGAGACATCAATATCTAGGTTATACATCCTATGGAGAAGAGGTACAGGTTGAAAGTACTGTGAAAGAGAAGTATATAGTAACTCTGTGGTAAGGAGCTAGGACTAGAGTTAGCCAGTGTGTGCAGAAGAATATTCTCTAACTAATGAAGTGATGAAATTAAGTCTTCTACATGCAAAGGTCTTCCAGGACTTTGTTTCAGCCTGTCCTCAGTTTTAATCCCTGGCTCTCTTGTCCTTCATGAAAACAAATAAAACATTGCTGTAGCTTTTGGCACTCTCATCTTGGAGGAAAGCACAGACACTTAACATAAAGAGCCAAAGGCTCAAGTTCGTTTAATTCTCTGATCTACTAGACACCCAGTAAATATTTTTTTTTTTTTTGTCAGTCGTGGGGCTTGAACTCAGCCTGGGTGCTGTCCCTCAGCTCTTCAGCTCAAGGTGAGAGCTCTACCACTTGAGCCACAGCACCACTTCTGGCTTTCTGGTGGTTTATTGGAGATAAGAGTCTCACAAACTTTCCTGCCCAGGCCGGCTTTGAACTACAATCCTCAGATCTCAGCCTCCTGAGTATCTAGGATTACAGGCGTGAGCCACTGGTGTGAGCCCAACAAGAAACATTATTTTTATTTTTGGTTTGTTATGAGTCAGGCCTGTTTTCCTCCATGTTTGTTTATAGCGTTCAGTTTGGCATGGTGATAACTTGCAGTGACTCCTGTCTGTATTTAGGTTGGGCTTCCCTTCATTTTCAGCCTTAGCAGTGGGCAAGTCCTCATTAGCTCTGCATGGTTTAGTAGCCAGGGCAACACATCACATGGACCTGCAGCACAAGTAGGTATAGCTTCACAATTCAAACAGCTTGTTTGTAAATCTCATCCACACTATTACAGTGTCAGTGTTATAATGCTATTACAGAAATGTGAAGTTGTAACCAGTCACTGGACTAATAAGCACTGAGGGAGCCACGGAAGAAAAATGGATAACTGGATTGCCTGATATAAGAGTTGGCAGGGATGGTAATGAGGATTAATTTTTTGAAGAGAACAGAAACTCTAAAGATTTTTTATCCAGGTATGTTTTACTAATAAAAATAATGGAACCATCAGAGGTCAGACCCAGGAGTCCTAGGGCTTGTTTTGACTAGACAGACTAGAACCAGCTTGTAGATTCCCAGCCTGCCCTCTTTCCAGTTGGGGAAGCTGGTATCTATTAGCAGTGTGAGAACAAGCCTTAGTAAGAGACTAGCTTGTTTTCTTGGACATGTGGCTGAGTATCTGAGCAGAGTTCTTGATAGATGCACAGTGCTGAGATAGAAATGATTAGGTCCTACCAGGTTGGAAGGATCCTAGTCAGCACCCCAAGTTTTTGAGTTGAACCTCAGGGTAAAGTGTGATCCAGAATTTATCTGACCCTCATAGGACTATTGCCTGATTTGAATCATTTCATACCAGTGGAATGAGGAGAGCTGGAATGATCAGTGTCTCATCTTCCCACCTGCAGGAAGCAACACTGACTCCTTTCTAGAGGAAGGTGACATTGTGCTCTGACTCTGTACATAGCATGTTCAACATTCTCTGAGGAATACCAAGTATGAGGGAAGAATCAGAAATAGAGACAGGCCCACTGGACATCCAAGTCAGACTTTTATTATAAATAGTCCTTAGTAATGTGTTCAGAGAATTTTAATATGGAGGATATCACCAAGATCTAGACACATAAAAATCCAATGGAAATTGCTGAGCTGAAAACACCAGGTGACTGGAGAGTTGTTCTTACCTGACGATTGGGTGCTTTACTTACGATAGGAAGCAGAGAACAACAAATGACATGTCCCTTCCTGAAGGAGCTCACTGGAAGAGAACTGGACATGGGAGAGAACACAGGGAGGGAAGGATTAGAAAGCTAGGTGGAAAAGGGAGTGTGTGAGTTTCCTAGACGCTCAGGGAAGTGTTACTTCAAAGAAAGCTAAACTCTTACAAGCAGTTTCAGGGAGATCATTGCAGTCAGGATAGAGCAAAACTTAGGCAACTAATGAAATTACTCATGATCCTGGCAGGAGGAAACCTAGTGGAGAAGCAGCAGCCAGAGAGATGTGAGTGAAGAGTGAATGGAAGGGGAGGAAATGAAGATGATGTGAATAGACAGGTTTCTTCAAAATTAATTCTTTTCCCTGTTTTAGAGGGTCTGTCTTCTGGAAATGGAAGAGTGAGTAACTGGAGGGAAGGCATGTAGTCCTGCAAGATTTTATAATATGAGAGTTCTGAGAAAACTCATAAGAGACATTGTTGAAGAATCTAGGCCCCACAATCACAAAGACATTGCCTTGGGAAATGGTGGGTAGGCAACAGTAAAGCCTTGAGTACCTTCACAGGAGGCTTAGTTAAAGAGGCTCTTTGAAAACTAGGCAGGAACTTAGGCTAAGTTCTGGGTCAGTGGGAGCTGTTGCAGGTTCCTGCACAGGGTGAACTTGATGGTTCCAGGGATACTACTCAGTGATGGAGTGCAGGAGAGAGGAGCGGCAGAGAGAGATAGAGTGAGGCACAGAGGGAGAGTGTTGACCAGGGGATATAAGGGGAGAGAAACATGTTTCTGGAAGGCAACAAATAAATCCAGTGGAACATTTGGTATTTGATTTTTTTTTTTTTTTTTTTTGGTGCAAGTCCTGGGGCTTGAACTCAGGGCATGGGTACTGTCCTTCAGCTTCTTTTGTTCAAGACTAGTCTTTACCACATGAGCCATAGCTCTCCTTCAGCTTTTTTTTTGGGGGGGGGGGGGTAAGAGTCTCATGAATGTTTCAGCCTGGGCTGGCTTGGAACCAATGCTTAGATCATAACCTCTTGAGTAGCTAGGATTACAGGTGTGCGCCACTGGTTCCTGTGAACAGGAATATTCTATTGCCAATTGGATCACACTAAAGAATTGGCAAAGGGGATGTAAGAGTTTAGACTAGAGATCAGCAAACTTTCCTCAGAGAGCCAGACAGCGAGGTCTCTTTTTTTTTTTTAATTGTGAAAATACTGTACAGAGGGGTTACAATTACATGGGCAAGATAATGAGTACATTTCTTTTTTGGGGGGGGGGGGGTCCGGTCATGGGGCCTGAACTCTGGGCTTGGGCACTGTCCCTCAGCTCTTCAGCTCAAGACTAGCGCTCTACCACTTGAGCCACAGCGCCACTTCCGGGTTTTTTCTTTTTGCTTATGTGGTGCTGAGGAATCGAACCCAGGGCCTCGAGCATGCAAGGCAAGCGCTCTACCACTGAGCCACCTTCCCAGCCCATGAGTACATTTCTTATCAAGCATTGTAGCCTCCTCCTTTGAGCAAGGTCTTTTTGACAATACAGATCAGATAGTTGCTGATATAGCTACTCAGTTCTGCTGAGCTCAAGTATGCACATGAAAGGTGTGGCCAGATGTGGTAGCAGTGGAGGTGGAGCAAAGTGGACAGGCACCAGATGTCTTAGATGGGCGTCCAGAAAGATGTACTGATTGGAAGTAGGAGGATGAGGGAAAGGTTAGAATCTAGGATGTAACCACAGTGTTGGGTAAAGGTGGGGTTGCTTACTGCTTTGATGAAGTCCAGGGAAGCAGGTATCCGAGTAAAACCACGGAGCTCTGTGTGGCTCAGTGGATATTCCAAGTACATGGAAGGATATGGTTTCTGAGAAGGCAGGGTGGATTGGAGCTATAAATATGGCATCTGTCAGGAGCTAAGATTGTATGGAAGGTGTGGAACTTGAGGAATTTCCTAAGGAGGGAGTGTAGGTGAGGCCAGGTCTGGAGAGGTGGAATAGGAACTGGCAGGGAAAAGAGTTGGCAGTGGTGAGGAAAATGTGAAAGCTATGATGAAGGAAATGAAGGTCAAACCGCCTGTAAATAATAATAATGACTAGAAAGCATTCAAAGCAGCCTGTGCTGATTACTGTGCCAAATGCTGCTAAGAGGGTGAGAAAGTTATGAGGACTAAGACTTGGATAGTATTGTGGGTTGAAGTACGTCTCCTAAAAGGTATGTTGATGTCTTAACCCCCTGAACTGTGCAATGTGTCTTTATTTAGGAATAGGTTAAGAGGAACTCATCCTAGAATAGGGTAACACCCTGATCCAATATGACTCCAAAGAAGAAAATTGGATATAGCCACAAAGGGAAGGAAGACGGTGAATTTGAAGACACTGGTGGAAAGGATGGTCATGTTGCCACAAAGAGTCAAGAGGCAAAGAAGGATTATCAGAGGCTTTGGAGGGAGGAAGGCTCTGCCAGTGCTTTGGCTTTGGGCTTCAGCCTCCAGAGGTTTAAGAGAAGTGAATCCATTGAATTGCACCTAGGAAGGAACATTTAGCTGAGGAAGGAGCGTTGGGCCGAGGAAGGAACATTTAGCCTTACTGGAGAAGTCAGCCTGTACCAGATGTGAACACTAGTGTGACTTTCATTCTATTTTGTTCTTTTCATTTTATTTTTGCTAT